TAACAAAATAAACAGGTATGTGCAAGCGCATATTGTAATTAGTAGCGGTAATAAAAGGTACTTTATTGTATTCTTGTATCTTTGGTCTGAACTCGTAAAGATAATTAAATGCAGATGTTAAACTTGGAGATCTCTTGTCCTACTCTTGCATCGACTCTGAATACGTCAGTCAAAGGGAATTTTGACTACAGTATGTGACCTCTGAGCCCAAAGCAGATTTATTTACTGTATTTCTACAATTGCATGAAGGCAAAAAAATGGAAGTTAAACTAAAGCAGAGTCGTCACGTGTTGCGTCATTCACTACACGCGTGGTGCGACACGCTGCAGTGAAAATACACATTTTATAATCATGAATGATTCTTATGTATTTGTAGCCTTTACTTTGTCATTTAGATATTAGGCTAATATAGCTAATATATCTTGCAGCCTGTGTTAACTTCATAAAAGCCTTATACAAGGCTGTTATTTTTTTGCGGCTCCAGATAGAGTTTAGTTTTTTTGTCAATTATGGCTCTTTGAACATTTTGGGTTCCCGACCCCTGGTCTATCTAGAACCCTGCCAAATTACAACCCCGAGGAGGCCATTGGACAGTTCAGAGTTGTAATTTTTTAATTACCTATGTGTGAGCATAAAGCTGTGTGTGTGTGTGTTTTAATAAAGCTTTCTTTGTATGAACATATTCCTGGAAAATTTTCATTTCTTCTATAAATAATACGAATATTTATATAAATATTATTACATTAATTATGAGGCAGGGTGACCAATAGTGACAGATCTGCCAGCCAATCACGAGAGATTATACTTATTTGAAAGTAGTGATTTCATCCGATGGGGAGTAAGCTACCAATGGGGAGTAATCACACGTGGGCTGGCCATGTGTGATTTTTCAGCCAATCACGAGTTTGAAAGTAGTGGTATCCGCCAATGCTGCTGCATTCATATGCTAATTAGGGCCATTAGCGCTCGGCCGGCCGCAGTGTTTCGCTGCATTCATATGCAAAGTAGGGACATTAGCATGGTACGGATACGGCAGTTTGGAGGACAGGGCACCCTAACTGCGCCTTTTGAAAACTGCCTGAGATACCCGAAAAAGAGCGTGATTTCCTGCCGTTTAGGGTGACGAAAATCTAACTTTTCATGCAGTGTTGGTGAGCACTAAACACTGTACAGCTGAATACTACAGTAAAGTTACACAAGTATTGTATGAAATCAGATTGAAAGATTTTGGTTTTGAACGAGTTCAACAGTTTTGTATGTGATGACCAAAGCCATGAAATGAGCTTTAGTTTTACAGGGAGAAACTATTCAGTCGTGATAAGTTTTATTTTGACTAACAGGACAGAAGCAAATGATGATGTTATAAAACAGAGAATTGTATGAAAGTAACTGATACATGAACAAAAGCATTTGTAATCTGTTCAAACGAGAAACTGCTGCGATTATGTCACACGTGACTCAGTGTTTTGTATGTTTGTTCTACGTAAATACTGTATGTGTGCTATTTTTGTTGCACAATGCTGTAGAATTGCAAAGAGCATATGCAGTAAATATGTGAAAGACATACAGTACATACATATATATCTCACTAAATACAGTCACAATGAAAACATGACTAAATCATTTGACTGTTGTTCATAAACATTGGTGTCAGGACTTATTCTTTTGAGACACAGACCGTTTCATTGACATGAAGACTTTCTTTTGAGGAATTAAGTTCATTTTGAGGAAGTGACTTTTTAGCAAGTTATCCATGAGGTTTTGCCGTTTGCACTAATTGTTCTGAGAAATGCACAAACTGATTACAAAATATATACTGTGCATGCTCAGGGGACACAGCACTGCCATGGCATCTCTTCTGCATTGTCCACATGTGTATCTGTGGACTACTGTAGTACTCTCTTGCAGCTCTCCCTCCCCCGCACGAATAAACAAAGCCCACCCCAGGCCCCTGCTGTTATAAGTCATTACCTAAATTTGCAAATCAATATATGCAAATGTTAGCAGCCAACCTAGCAAGTTAGCTCCTTCTTTTCAAAACAAGGGCCAATTTCGCTTGGGTTTGCTAGTGTTAAAACTAAGCAGACATTCATCAGCCAACTCCATTATATTTGTAAAACACGGAGAAAGAAAGTTTCCCACCCATCATACATTTGTATTAGCAATATCGTTTTACAAGTTTACTACAGTCTAACAACTATTCATTTCAACCTTCGGCACAACACGCCAAAACACGCATGAAATTCAAGATTTGGACAACAATAAACATGTTCACACTCTGGCATCATGTTTAAAAAATTGAATTTGCGCATCAGAAAAAGTCTAACGGAAACACGCAAACTTCGAATCATATATATAATAAGCCTCTGAATTTATTCTTTTAAATAATGTTGTTATAACACTCACCATTAATGCGACTTCTGGTGATGGACTGTAAAAAATACAACTCAAAATTGTTCACCTTACTAAGATTTTTGCATTCACTGACAATAAAATTGCCAGTTGGAACTGCAACTGTCTGCTGTGAGCCACTTGAACTCACTTTCTGAAGTTTCTGATGAAAAGTTCATCTTATTTGATATATTAAGTTGATTTGACTTTGAAGTTGTAGTGAACTTCTGAAAGTTCAAGTGGCTCACAACAGATAGTTCCAGTTCCAACTGGAAATTTTATTGTCAGTGAATGCAAAAATCTGAGTAAGGTGAACAATTTTGAGTTGTCGTTTTTAGAGTTCACCGAGCTATAGTGAGGTCAACTTATCTGCGTTTGCTCATTTAAATATGTGTTATGGCAACCAGCTGCATTCAACATTTTGAACAAACTAATTTGACCAAAAAAATCACTGTATTTATTTTTACCAACCGTAATTGACAGGGCCAAGCCAAAGTAGCCCTGTATATTCTCTGGGTCAGTCACTGGGTCAGTGAGCGCGTACTACGCGCTCACTTGAAGCTTTTGACACGCGAAACGCTCGCGTATCACAACAATCCCTTTAGCGCCGAAGCTGAGCAAAGCTGAGCTTTTGAAGCTTTGACGCGGGCTTCAACCAATCAGGAGACGAGGAGCAGCAGCAGCACAGGGTCTGTCTCTGTCATGGGGAGAAGTCATGCTGCTGCTGTTTTATTGTCATTATTGTTATTAGTAATATTATTTGTATGAGTAGTAACGTTCTGAGTAACAAAAACCATTGTACACATGCTGTGTAGTAAACCTAGTTTATTTAAAATAAGAACAGGCTGACGATGAGTCTGGCTCAGAGCAAGGCAGCTCCGGGCGGGCGAGAGCCGGGGAGAGGCAGGGAGAGGCGAGCGAGAGCCGGGGAGAGGCGAGCTCCGGGGTTTGAGAACTCAGACTGGGCGAGTGACATGCGGAAGTACCGCTGAAAGCGAAACTCCTCCGTACGCAGCTCCTGGAGTAAATGACGGAACTCTGCAAACACTGAAGCCTCTCAAGTCTGTGGTGAACCCAGAACATGTTTTGTTGAAGCCCTACAACAACGTTATTTTGCTTTATATAACAAATAAAGGCTCGCTGCTCATTGAAAAATCCACCGCTGTCCTGACTACAGACAACAGAGAAGCTCCTCCCACCGGCGTCAGGCGCGTCACTCGCGTCAAAAGCTTCAAGCACCAAAATGACAAAACTATCCCGGTGTCAGTTGAAGCGCGTCAAAAGCTTTTTGAAGCTTTTGGTCTGAACGCGCCTTTACAGTCTGTGGTAAATACACGGGCTACAGGTGTTACACGTGCTTAGACTATATTAATATTGTATGTGTAACATTCAAAATAGATTGAGTGAATATTCCCTTTTCCTCATTTAGTGGTTTGCGGAGGAGAGAGCAGCGAGAGAAGTTTGGCAGGGAGTTAAAATAAATGAATTACAGCTTGCTAAATTATTTGAAAGCATCTTCATTATGATTGTTATATTTATGTATTTATTATAAATGTTAGAGATGCCAGAGAAAAGGCGTCTGCTTTTTTTCTGAGTGGGAGGAGACACCAGCGGAGCTGTTTGAGTCAGATAACATTCAGCGTTATATTACCAATAGTTTCTCTTTCCATAACGATATTCTCTCTTTTTGGAAAGATCACCAACGTGATGCAAAAGTTTACGTTATATGCAGTAGTTTTAATGTCTGCGGGTTATTCCAGAGACTGGCCTGCTACAAGGAGTTGCCCGTTTTAACCAGATTGTCGATGTGCGCGGGGCAGAAACTCATAGGCGACGGATATAATCAGTTGCCAGTCCGATGTACAGTACGCTAGGCTTAAAGCCACAGATAGTTGTCCGGTGAAGAGAGAAGAAAGAGCGATGAGACGCCAATGTAACCCTGCTCACAAGTGCCACCTGGTGGTTGTTTTGGTCATTGCAGCGTCACTGGGGGGGAAAAAAAGAAAAGACACGTGATTCGCGCGTGAGCCTCGTGCAATTCACGCGTGAAAGGCGACAAAACGAAATGGGACCTACTGTATATATATATATATATATATATACACACACACACACATACAGTATATAGACTCTGCAGACATCAGAGGAAGCAGCTCATCACCAACTGCTGCTGCACTTAATTACTATTGTTGGTCACTTTTAGAATGAGATAATATCGTCTCCCATGGAGTGTCACTTGGAAATGTGTTTCATGTTCAATTTTGTTAAGTTGCTTTGAGTTGTGTTTAAAAAACATGTGGATAATGTTAATGACAGAAATACACAAGCGCTGAGTTCTGTACTGGAAACCGTTGCTCTCACTCAGAATGTGATAGGCCCCACTCACAACAGAGGACACACGCTAGACCTGTGAGTTACTAAGGGGAAAATATCTGCAAAATTATTCTGCAGGGCAAAATGGCGCTGCCCTGCAGGGGACATGGACGAGGGCTCTACAAAAAGGAGAATTTTCCCTTTTTTCTAATGCACTGTGGTCATTTATCATTTTAATCCCTTGTGTGATTTGCATGTTTTAAATTATTCAATGTTTTTATTTTTTAATCCTGATTTTAATGTTGCCTCACCTTCTCACAGCGGTACTCTCCAAACTTGACCCCGCGCACCACCTGCTGGTAGATGAGGTTGGTGGCCACCTGGTCGTCCCCAGGAAAGTGCCAGGGCGTGAAGATCTCCTTCCTGAAGAAGAGCCTCCAGGGGGCGTTTCTCTCCTGAGCCCCCTGCTCTTTAGCGTACTGCTCACACTGAGACACAGCGTCCATCACGTGGTCCGAGCCACTGCCCAGAGACGACACCTGAGGACCACAAGAGGGCAGCATTCAGTCAAACAAATCAATGAAGCACAAATATAATGGAATCCAGCCTCGTCTTATCCGTCTGTGCACTCTGGTCCATGATCATCTCCTACATGTACGTCTGGGTCTTACCATGTGTAAACTCTGGTCCATAATCATTTCCTACATGTACGTCTGGTCTTACCATGTGTAAACTCTGATCCATGATCATTTCCTACATGTACGTCTGGTCTTACTATGTGTAAACTCTGGTCCATGATCCTTTCCTCCATGTACGTCTGGTCTTACCATGTGTAAACTCTGGTCCATGATCATTTCTTACATGTACGTCTGGTCTTACCCTGTGTAAACTCTGGACCATGGAGAATGTGATAGTAAAATATCAAGAAACTGAAGCCGGAGCAAGAGGAATGTTTAGTAAATGTCATTGAAGCAAAGATGTTGTGGCTCTATTTCCCACAGGCTCCGTTAGTGGCAGAGGAGATGGCTAAAGCTAGGATATTGCTAAAGCTAGGTTAAATGCTAAAGCTAGGCTAAATGCTAAAGCCAGGCTAAATGCTAAATGCCTCACTCTCTTGGGCTTATTACATACGTCACAGTAAACTCAGATCCAATGGTTTCAATCTGTAAAAGGGGTTAGCCCCTCCCACCTGTTCAATCCAGACCTTAGTAAATAAAATGAGTACCATGGTGTGGTAAGACCAGGCTGAATGGTCTGTTTTTTACGACAGAGATTAGAATATAAACGAGGATGATGTGACTACAGCACCTTATCGAAGAGGGCGATGTAGAGGGAGAAGCCGAAGCGGTCCCGGAGGCAGATCTTGTCGGCCAGAGCGTGGCAGAGCTCCGAGGCTGTAGTAGCAGAGTCCGCCAGCAAAGTCTTCGTCGTTCCATCCATGAAGGTCACCGGCAACATGATGGGCTTTTTAGACTTGGTGGCCTGGAGGAAGACCATGGAGACGAAGAGCATGAGGAGGAAGAGCATGGAGAGGAAGCGCATGAGGAAGAGCATGGAGAGGAAGAGCATTAGGAAGAGCATGGAGAGGAAGACCATGGAGAGGAAGAGCATGAGAAAGAGCATGGAGAGGAAGAGCATGGAGAGGAAGAGCATGGAGAGGAAGACCATGGAGAGGAAGACCATGGAGAGGAAGAGCATGGAGAGGAAGAGCATGAGAAAGAGCATGGAGAGGAAGAGCATGGAGAGGAAGAGCATGGAGAAGAAGAGCATGGAGAGGAAGAGCAGGGAGAAGAAGAGCATGGAGAGGAAGAGCATGGAGAAGAAGAGCATGGAGAGGAAGAGAATGGAGAGGAAGATCATGGAAAGGAAGAGCATGGAGAGGAAGAGCGTGGAGAAGAAGAGCATGAGGAAGAGCATGGAGAGGAAGAGCATGAGGAAGAGCATGGAGAGGAAGACCATGGAGAGGAAGACCATGGAGAAGAAGAGCATGGAGAGGAAGAGCATGGAGAGGAAGGGCATTAGGAAGAGCATGAGGACGGGCATGGAGAGGAAGAGCTTGAGGAAGAGCATGGAGAGGAAGAGCATGGAGAGGAAGACCATGGAGAGGAAGAGCATGAGGAAGACCAGGAAGAAGACCATGAAGAGAAAGACCACGAGGAAGAGCATGGAGAGGAAGAGCATGAGGAAGAGCATGGAGAGGATGAGCATGGAGATGAAGAGCATTGAGAGGAAGACCATGGAGTGGAAGAGCATGGAGAGGAAGACCATGGAGACGAAGAGCATGGTGAGGAAGAGCATGGAAAGGAAGAGCATGGAGAGGAAGAGCATGGAAAGGAAGAGCATGGAGAGGAAGAGCATGGAAAGGAAGATCATGGAGATGAAGAGCATTGAGAGGAAGACCATGGAATGGAAGAGCATGGAGAGGAAGACCATGGAGTGGAAGAGCATGGAGAGGAAGACCATGGAGACGAAGAGCATAGTGAGGAAGAGCATGGATAGAAAGAGCATGAGGAAGAGCATGGAAAGGAAGAGCATGAGGAAGAGCATGGAGAGGAAGAGCATGGAGATGAAGAGCATTGAGAGGAAGACCATGGAGTGGAAGAGCATGGAGAGGAAGACCATGGAGAGGAAGAGCATGGAGACGAAGAGCATGGTGAGGAAGAGCATGGAGAGAAAGGGCATGAAGAGGAAAAGCATGAGGAAGAGCATGAGGAAGAGCATGAGGAATAGCATGGAGAGAAAGAACATGAGGAAGAGCATGGAGAGGAAGACCATTGAGAGGAAGACCATGGAGAGGAAGACCATGAAGAGGAAGACCATGGAGAGGAAGATCATGAGGAAGAGCATGGAGAGAAAGACCATGAGGAAGAGCATGGAGAGGAAGAGCATGAGGAAGAGCATGGAGAGGAAGATCATGGGGAGGAAGACCATGGAGAGGAAGAGCATTGAGAGAAAGGGTATGGAGAAGAAGAGAATAGAGAGGAAGAGCATGGAGAAGAAGAGCATGGAGAAGAAGAGCATGGAGAGGAAGAGCATGAGGAAGAGCATGGAGAGGAAGAGCATGAGGAAAAGCATGGAGAGAAAGACCATGAGGAAGAGTAAGGAGAGGAATAGCATGAGGAAGAGTATGGAAAGGAAGAGCATGGGGAGGAAGACCATGGAGAGGAAGAGCATTGAGAGGAAGACCATGGAGAGGAAGAGCATTGAGAGGAAGACCATGAAGAGGAAGAGCATGGAGAGGAAGACCATGGAGAGGAAAACCATGGAGAGGAAGACCATGGAGAGGAAGACCTTGGAGAGGAAGAGCATGGAGAGGAAGAGCATGGAGAGGAAGAGCATGGGGAGGAAGAGCATGGGGAGGAAGAGCATTGAGAGGAAGAGCATGAGGAAACGCATGGAGAGAAAGACCATGAGGAAGAGTAAGGAGAGGAATAGCATGAGGAAGAGTATGGAAAGGAAGAGCATGGGGAGGAAGACCATGGAGAGGAAGAGCATGGAGAGGAAGAGCATGGAGAGGAAGAGCATGGGGAGGAAGAGCATGGGGAGGAAGAGCATGGGGAGGAAGAGCATGGAGAGGAAGAGCATGGGGAGGAAGAGCATGGAGAGGAAGAGCATGGAGAGGAAGAGCATGGAGAGGAAGAGCATGGGGAGGAAGAGCATTGAGAGGGAGTGTGGGTTACAAGCAGTGACAAGTGATCTGTCTCTGAGTGTGGGTGTGTGTGTGTGTCTGTGTGTGAGTGTCCGTGTATGTGTGTGTCTGCGTGTGTGTGTCTCTGTGTGTGTGTGTGCGTGTCTGTGTGTGTGTGAGTGTCCGTGTATGTCTGTGTGTGTGTCTCTGAGTGTGTGTAGTTGAAAAAAAAACTAAGGAATAAAATCCATGGAAAAGTCTAAATGCCTCAGATTTAATATTAGTTTATAATGAACTTAAGGAGAGGACGGGTTCTTTGACTTCCAGGAAGAAAGGTGTGTGTAGTTGTGTGTCAGTTGTGTGTCTCACCTGCAGTTCTAACCAGGATGGAGGTTGTGTTTAGTTGTGTGTCAGTTGTGTGTCTCACCTGCAGTTCTAACCAGGATGTAGGTTGTGTGTCAGTTGTGTGCCTTACCTGCAGTTCTAACCAGGATGGAGGTTGTGTGTCAGTTGAGTGTAGTTGTGTGTCTCACCTGCAGCTCTAACCAGGATGGAGGTTGTGTGCGTGTGCAGTTCACAAAGGTCCTCCTCAGTCTCTCCTCACAATACGGAGCATATCCAGGAGGTCCATTCAACAGGAAGCTCCGCAGGTACTGGCAACACACACACACACACACACACACACACACACCGACAAACACACAGACACACACAGACACAGACACACACACACACAGACACACACATACACATACCCACGCACACACACACATTGTTTATTATTTCTTACATTATGAAGAGCATATTATTTATTATTTTATTATTTCCAGGATGATTTGAACAAAAGAATGAAGGTGAGAAAGTGTTCGTACTTTGACAAACTTGTCGGAGGGAGCGAAGCAGCCCACGCACAGCGACAGCAGGATCCAGCCGCGGGCGTGGCTGCTCTTGGACGGGTTCTGACTCAGCTGTTTACAGATCTGACAGTAGATCTCATCCCTGTAACACACACACATCAGCCCCTGCTGGAGGAGGACTGTAACAACACACACATCACCCCCTGCTGGAGGAGGACTATAACAACACACAGACATCACCTCCTGCTGGAGGAGGACTATAACAACACACAGACATCACCTCCTGCTCGAGGACTGTAACAACACACACATCACCTCCTGCTGGAGGAGGACTATAACAACACACAGACATCACCTCCTGCTGGAGGACTGTAACAACACACACATCACCCCCTGCTGGAGGAGGACTATAACAACACACAGACATCACCACCTGCTGGAGGAGGACTATAAAAACACACACATCACCTCCTGCTGGAGGAGGACTATAACACACAGACATCACCACCTGCTGGACGAGGACTGTAACAACACAGACATCACCCCCTGCTGAAGGTTGCATTTTCTGTGTTTGAACTGATTCTCTGATCTGTGTTGGAGAATCGAAAGCTTTGCAAAGTCCTCAGAGATAATGTTGTGATTCAGGGCGGTGGAAGAATAAATGGACTTGTGTTTTTTATTAGTGCTTTATAAATAAACTGGACTGGGCTGAACAGCAGGAGAGCTCTGACCTGAGGGCCGGCCGCAGGATGCCATTGCCGATGATGAAGTGTAGTTTCTCCAGGTTGGACGTAGGCCTCTCCTCCAACATGCTGTTCCCCTGAAGGCTGTAGTCACCCTCCCTCAGCTGCCGGCTCACCTGCACACAGCAGGGGGGCTAGTGAGGCTGAACACACACAGCACCACCAGTGGGGGCTAGTGAGGCTGAGCACACAGCTCCACCAGAGGGGGCAAATGAAGCTGAACACACACACATACACAGAGAGTACCAGGGGGGGCTAGTGAGCCTGAACACACATGATCTCCCATAATGCGTTGCGCCAAACACGCGTGTGTGGGTCTCACACTGGGTCTCATGCACGTGCACAGAGGGGCTCGGCCGCGCTCTGACCAATCAGAACAGTTCATCAGAGCGGGAGTTAGAGCGAGAGCCAGACGAGCAGAGTTTGTGGCACTAAAGTGTGGATTTAAACAAAACCGAAGGATTGAAGAAGAAAAAAAGTTCAGGATGACAAGGGACACTAAAATCCCCACAAAATCCGACCTTTATGAAAGCTGTAGGTTCTCTGTCAGCTGAGGTCGAGCTGTTTTAATATGCATTGAGTCCTATGGGGAAAATTTCTGGGTAGCCCATGTGAATTTAGTCTGGTTCAGTCTGCAGTACCGCGAGGATCCCCTGAGCACATGAGTTATTCAGCTACAAGCTAGTAATACCCTATCCAGTTATTATAATAGATCCATGGTCCTGAGAGGCTGTGACTTCTTGCAGAATGCTGCGTCCTAGTGTCCTACCTCCTCGGTGATCTTGGACTTCTTCTTCAGTGTGAGTGAGATGAGCTTGTGGCGCACACTGTTCCTCTTCTGGCTGTCGACAGAGCTGATCTGAGGACGGCACACAGCATCAGAGACACTCAAAAGTTCTCAGGATGAATGAGTTCACAGGTTTTCAATCCTTTTCTGTTCAACTGTTGCTTGTTCTACTATTGAGGCAGTCAGCCCTGGTCTGATGGACACACTACAACAGAAGCTAATGCAGTGTTGGGAAATGTGGAATTCCATGGAATTACTTTTGATCCAAAACACTGTTTAAATCACACTAATGTTGAATCTGAAGTCAAATTTCTGGTTATGTTTGTATAAAATCTACTTTTTACATAATTTTTAACAGATTACAGTACGGTTAGATTTGGATTGATGTACTAGACTGATTCATAGATTTATTTCTATGAATTATAACTGATTCAGTTAATTGTTCAGAGTCAAATAAATGTTGTGGTTGAGAAATATAGTATTAAAAGAATAACATTTGATGTTAGCATACAGGCTAATGGGACTGAAAGTTTCTATTTCACAAACAAAAAATATGGGCTCAGTAGTGTGCAACCATCTCCTGTGGTTCTATTGTGGTCAGAGGCCGGGCAGCTGGGCCCTGGGTTCAAGGTTCTAGGCCCTAGGTTCTGGGTCTTGGGTCCTGGGCCCTGGGTTATGGGCCCTGGGTTCTAGGTCCTGGGCCCTGGGTCCTGGACTCTGACTCACATTGAGCTCCTCTTCCGCCTGCAGCTCCAGTAGCTCTCTCTTGTAGCTGCGTTTTCCCAGAGTCTCGTAGATCTTGGTCATCACTGGGATCTTTTCGCTGCCGTCGTTGATGACGAGCTGACACTTGGGCTCGGGCAGGTCTCCCATGAAGCGCAGGATGGTGACCCACACCGCTAGCGCCGCCTGCAGGACACACGGGAACTTTCTACTACAACGCAGATTTACTTCCGCTTTATTTACAGCATCCTTCTCGTGTGTAAACTCTAACAACGTACTCACTAGTAGGGGTGGGAACCTAAGGGTACCTCACGATACGATACACGATACAAAGCTCACGATAACGATAATATCACGATAACGATAATATCACGATAACAATATCACGATAACGATTTTATCACGATATGACGATTATTGATATATTGGTTAGAAATATACAATATGCCAATTTATGGTATAAATAAAAGAACAAATACTCTTTATTTCATGATAAATAGAATGGAGATGCGCAATGTAGCCATATATTAAGTATTGATACCAATTTAAAAAAAAAAAAATAATCAATTTTTTTTTTTTTTTTTTCAAAATCGATATTGATACTTGGTAAATGCATATCGATAATCGAATTGCGGGAGAAAGTATAGCGATATATTGAAACATCGATATATCGTCACACCCCTACTAACTAGTATCACTGGTACCTTTATCTAAAGTCAGAGCACTACAGCATCTGGTCTCTCTCTGGTCTCTCTCTAGGCTGTCTCTGGTCTCTCTCTCTCTCTGATCTCTCTCTCTCTCTGGTCTGTCTCTGGTTGCTCTCTGGTTTCTCTCCGGTCTCTCTCTGGTCTCTCTCTGGTCTCTTTCTGGTCTCTCTCTAGGCTGTCTCTGGTCTCTCTCTCTCTCTCTCTGGTCTCTCTCTGGTTTCTCTCTAGTCTCTCTTTGGTCTCTCTCTGGTCTCTTTCTGGTCTCTCTGGTCTCACCAGCTGGTCCCCTTCGTCCTCGTGGAAGAGCAGAGGCTGTTTGAGGGCTCTGCGGATGTAGGTGTGAGAGGACAGGCCCTGGAAGTACGTTGCTGCAAATTTGGAGAACTTGAAGTCGGACAGGTCCAGGTCCTCATCGTCCTCTGCAGGTAACGGAGGCGCCTGGTCCAGCAGCTCGTCCGCCTCCACGGCCAGACTGGGCTTCACCAGGTCCTGATGGGACACACACATGTTAGCAGAGGTACAGGGATAACCAGGTCCTGATGGGGCACACACATGTTAGCACAGGTACAGGGCATCACCAAATCCTGATGGGACACACACATGTTAGCACAGGTACAGGGCATCACCAGATCCTGATGGGACGCACACATGTTAGCACAGGTACAGGGCATCACCAGATCCTGATGGGATGTACACATGTTAGCACAGGGACAGTTTCACCAGATCCTGACGGGACACACATATGTTAGCACAGGTACAGGCTTCACCATGTCCTGATGGGACACACACAGTCTAGCACAGGGGAAGTTTCACCAGGTTCTGATGAGGAAAACTTTATCCAATATACAGTCAAGAAAAACATAAAAACAGAGCTTTGGATTTGCTCCCATTTATCGTGGGTTCAAACTAAACTGTTTAGGCTCAGATATAGTTCACTAATCTGTAGAAATCTGTTTCACTGAGCACTTCTCCTCATCGTTGTGAAAACGTCTTATTCCATCCATCCATTAATCCATTTTCTTCTGCTTCATCCGTTGGGCGGGGGCAGCAGTCTAAGCAGAGACGCCCAGACTTCCCTATCCACACACACTTCCTCCAGCTCGTCTGGGGGGACCCCAAGGCGTGCCCAGGCCATCTGATAGACATAGTCCCTCCAGCGTGTCCTGGGCCTTCCCCGGGGCCTCCTTCCGGTGGGACGTGCCCGGAACACCTCCCCAGGGAGGCATCCAGGAGGCATCCGGGAACAGATGCCCGAGCCACCTCAGCGGCTCTACTCCAAACTCCTCCCGTGTGACTGAGCTCCTCTATCTCTAAGGGAGCAGCCACTCTGCGGAGGAAGGGTTTGACCGCTTGTATCCGTGATATTGTTCTTTTGGTCAATACCCAAAGCTCATGACCAAAGGTGAGGGAGGGCACAAAGATTGGCTGGTAAATCGAGAGCTTTATATTGAGAGTTCCCTCTTAACCACAATGGTCCGATACAGCGACCGCATCACTGCGCATGCTGCACAGATCCACCTTCAATCTCACGCTCCATTCTGCCCTCACTTGTGAACAAGACCCCGAGATACTTGAACTCCTCCACTTGAGGGAGGACCACTCCACCTGGAGAGGCCAAGGCATCTTTTTCCGGTCGAGCACCATGGCCTCAGATTTGGAAGTGCTGATTCTCATCCCAGCCACTTCACACTCGGCTGCAAACCGTCCCAGTGCATGTTGCAGGTCCTGGTTCATTGGAGCCAACAGGACAACATTGTCCGCAAACAGCAGGGATGAAATTCTGTGGTCCCCAAACTGGACATCCTCCGGCCCCTGGCTGCGCCTAGAAATTCTGTCCATAAAGACAGTGAACAGAACCGGTGACAAAGGGCAACCTTGGTGGAGGCCAACATGCACCGGGAACAGGTCTGACTTACTGCTGATGCAAACGCAGGTCAACTCCCATGAACCCTTGAGTATCCGATGGAGAGTATAGAGCTGGTCCAGTGTTCCGCGGCCGAGACGAAAACCACACTGTTCCTCCTGAATCCGAGATTCAACCATCGGTCGTTGTCTCCTCTCAGTACCTTGGAGTAGACCTTACTGGGGAGGCTGAGGAGTGTGATCTCACAATAATTGGAACACACCCTCTGGTCCCCCTTCTTGTAGAGAGGGACCACCACCCCGGTCTGCCGCTCCATTGGCACCGCCCCCGATCGCCACACAACGTTGCAGAGACGTGTCAGCCAAGACAGTCCTACAACATCCAGAGACTTTGGAGTCAGGATGGATCTCATCCACTCCTGGAGCTTTAAGGAGGCTGCCAACCACCTTGGTTACCTCAGGGAGATGGAAGTATACATACTCAGCCTCTGCCTCCGGGATGGAGGACGAGACGGGGGGATTGAGGAGAAGCTTGAAGTACTCCTTCCACCGCCCGACAATATCCCCAGTCAAGGTCAGCAGCTCTCTATCCGCACCGTACACGGTGTTGGCAAAGAACTGCTTCCTCCTCCTGAGGTGCCGGACAGTTTGTCAGAATCTCTTCGAAGCCGACCAATAGTCATGCTCCATGGACTCTCCGAACTCCTCCCAGTCCCGGGTTTTTGCCTCTACAACAGCCCGGGCCGCGGCACGCTTAGCCTGCCGGTACTGGACAGCTACCTCAGGAGTCCCACAAACCATCATGGCTCAATAGGACTCCTTCTACAGTCTGGTAGCATCCCTTACTACTGGTGTCCACCACCGGTTTCGGAGGTTGCCACTGGGACCAGCACCAGAGACCTTGCGGCCACAGCTTCAAGCTGCTGCATTGTTTATAGCGGTGGAGAACATGGTCCACTCAGACTCTATATCCCCCTCCTCCGCCAGGACCTGGGAGAAGCTCTCCCGGAGGTGCGAGACGTTCCCAACAGACCCTCACTACATGCTTGGGTCTGCCAGGTCTGGCCGGCTTCCTCCCCTGCCAGCGGATCTAACCGATCGACCAGGTGGTGATCGGTGACAGCTCCGCCCTCTCTTCACCCGAGTGTCCGAGACACGCGGTCAAAGGTCGGATGACACGACGACAAAGTCAATCATCGACCTCTGGCCTCAGGTGCACTGGTGGACACTCTTTTGCTCGAACATGGTGTTCGTGATGGACAAACTGTGACTAGCACAGAAGTCCAACAGCTGAACACCGCTCGGGTTTAGATCAGGGGAGCCGTTCTTCCCCTTCACCCCTCTCCAAGTGTCACTGGCATTTCCCACATGGGCGTGGAAGACTCCTGGGGGACTTCAACACCCATGTGGGAAATGCCAGTGACATGCCCCCCCCCCCCCCCCTCTGCACAACAGTGAGAGACTTGTCCCCCACCCGGAGGCGGAGGGATGCGACTCTCTCATTCACAGGGGAGAAACACCAAAAAAGTGAAGCGTCCAACCCCTCTCAAGGAGTTGGGTTCAGAGCCCAAGGTGTGTGTGGAGGTGAGACTTTCTCTAGTCGGTATCTCTCAACCTCCGCCACGAGCTCGGGCTCCTTCCCCCCCAGTGAGATGACGTTCCACCTGAGACCTGTCTGCCATGTGAGAGCCTACCAGGGACATAAAGACCTGTGTACCATGGGAGACCTTGCCAGGGGCATAAAGACCTGTGTACCATGGGAGGCCCTACCAGGGGCATAAAGACTTGTGAACCATCATCCGAGTACTCAAACTCCCCCATCACGCTAAGGTGGCAGTCCAGGAGGGAGTCATATTCCTCAATATTATAATTAACTTTATTATTTAACAAAGGTAGCATGTTTTCTGAAGTGGCTGTTCCTCAAGTGGAGGAACGATCTATGAATGAAGGAATCTGGCCCAGGGGTCTCTGACCTGTCAGTAGCTCCAAAGGATTTAGTTTTTAGATCATTATTCTGAGATCATAGATTATGATTCCCAACCTTTAAGTGAAAACTACAAATGTAATAAATAACAAAAAAGGACTGTACTACATCCCAACTGTTATTACCTGAAAAGCCGCAGGGGGCTGTCCGCTCTGATTGGTTGGAGCTCCGGGGTGTCCCAGGAAGCCGAACATGATGTCCACCATGTCAGAGTGGTCCACCGGCTCCTCCCGCTCCCTCTCCACCTGCTCCAACAGCTCCTTCTTACGCCTGGCCTCGTCCTTGTCCTCGCGGGCCTGGTCCTCGCTCTGCTGGGCCAGGAGGTCCAGCCTCTCCTGGTGCTTCCGATGCGCCTCCTCTCTGGCCCGGCGAGCTGTCATCAGGCTCTGCAGCTGCGCCTCCTCCTCCAGACGCTGCTTCTCTGCTGCCACACGCTTCTCCCGCTGGGAGAGAGAGGAGGGAGAGGGGGGAGAGAGGAGGGAGATGAGGCAGAGAGGAGTGATAGAGGGGGGAGAGAGGAGGGAGAGGTGCGAGGAGAGGAGAGAGGAGGGAGAGGAAGGAGGAGAGGAGAGAGAGGGGAGAGAGGACAGAGAGGAGAGAGGAGAGAGGAGAGAGAGAAGGGAGGAGAGAGAGGGGAGAGAGGAGGGAGAGGAGAGGAGAGAGAGGGGAGAGATAGGAGAGGAGAGAGGGGGAGAGAGGGGAGAGAGAGGAGAGAGAGGGGAGAGAGGAGGGAGAGAGGAGAGAGGAGAGAGGGGAGAGCGAGGGGAGAGAGAGGAGAGAGAGGAGATAGAGGAGAGAGAGGGGAGAGAGGGTAGAGAGAGGAGAGAGAGGAGAGAGGAGGGAGAGAGGAGAGCAGGGTTAGGGTTATTCCAGAGGAACCTTTCTAAACTATGGTCACTTGATTGTGGTCATGATGTCATTCATTCATCGGCTTGAGTCCAGTTAACACACGAACTCCCAAAGCAGTCAATTTGACGGCTTTTTGTCTTGGAAGTATAAATCTTCTTTATGCATATTTTTGGAGACTTTCTCAGTATCTATATGTAGTTCATTTACTATATACTGTATGTTTATACATTTATCTCAATCTTAGACCGGTTCTAAACCAGTTCTAGACCAGTTCAAGACCGGTTCAGAGCAATCTATGTTTGGAGCATGTGCCTGTTACCATAGCAACACACTTTTTATTCCATTCATTTGAATGGGAGATGTCAGAAAGACTGCTTTAGGGACAGGAGAGGACCGGCATGAGACTAGGAGAGGACCAGCATAACACCAGGAGAGAGACAGGAGAGGACCAGCATAAAACCAGGAGGAAGACAGGAGAGGACAGGACAACACTAGGAGAAAGACAGGAGAGGACCAGGACAACACTAGGAGAAAGACAGGAGAGGACCAGGGCAACACTAGGAGAAAGACAGAGGACCAGGACAACACTAGGAGAAAGACAGAGGACCAGGACAAAACTAGGAGAAAGACAGAGGACCAGGACAACACTAGGAGAAAGACTCGGTGTTACCTCGGTCCTCAGGCGCTGGCACAGTCTCCTGCTGATCATGCCTCTAGTGTGGGCCTGCAGAGTGACCACGGCCCTCACTCGTCTCCAGAAGGCCTGGCGGATAAGGAAGCCCCTGCAGCGGGCCTGGATCCGGGTCACGGTCTGCCGGGTCTGAAGGTAACTCTGGTGGAACCTGCGGGACCTGTACACGGCCTGAAGACGCAGAAAACCCCTTTTCATCTGAGGAACCAATGAGAGGGAGGGAAAAGAGACCAGATTAACGCCTTTAAGTTAGAATATACATCAACAACCAACAACAATTGATAATTGGAAAATACATCAGTTTTATAAAGCGATGTCTCTTCACATCATTATTCTCTCTCTGCAAACACAGCGGTGTTTATTACTATTGTAGCCACAGCTGCCCTGGGGCACACTGACAGAAGCCCCTCCCACCACCACCAACCATTCACACACACACCTGACTCATTCTAGGCAATGGAGGTGAAGTGTCTTGCCTAAGGACACAACGGCAGTTTGGCACTTTACAGCCGCAGCCGCCCGACTGTGGCACCTGCTGTTTCCATAGGTCTCCCATCACAGCACTAACCGGGCCCTGCCCTGCTTAGCTTCAGAGGTGTGACTGACTTGATCCAGCTTTCACCTGCAGGGGGCGCCACAGATGTTTTTACTTTTCATCTTTGAGAATGTTTAAGTAGAACCTGAGTCTGAGGTTTTCAAAGCTCTGCTCATTGTTGGTGTCAAAGGTTTCTGATCCTTGGAAGAAAGACTCCAGGTCCAGGTCCAGGCCTCATGCCCAGGTCCAAACCTTCATTCCTCATCAGAGCAGAGTAAATGTGAACAGAGACTGACCTTGTGGAAGTTCCTTCTACACCTGTAGCCCTTCCACACCGTCTGGATCACTGTGGCTGCATGACGCTTCTTCAGGAAGGTGGTCCTGGACACACAGACACAGACACACACACACACACACACATGTAACTCTACTGTCTACTCAGCCCACATTTGTCAGTTGGGTTGATTTGGAGAGGCAATGCTTTTGTGGATAAGGTCTGTGTGTGTGTGTGTGTCTGTGTCTGTGTGTGTGTGTGTGTGTGTGTATTTTGTGCAGCGTCTCTCTATGAAGTCACCACTGCACTGTTATATAAACAATAGATAATTAAAGGAGACAGAAGGTCATTTTTCCATGAGGAGAAGGAATTGTCTAGTTTATGATTTTTCTGAAAGCACCCAGATGTGGTCCTAAGATTATGTGGAATACAGAGAACAGTGGGATGTGACCAGAGAGACCTCGGCAGCTCCATACCTCTCACGGTGTCCTCGCACAGACTTCTGGATCAGGATGACTTTGTCTGTGATGCCTTTGTCCCTCTCCATCTCCAGCTTAATGTCGTGGTGGTCCTGGAGAACAAGGATCATGCTAACACACACGCTACGATATATAGCACCCGCCCACAAATGCCTCAAGATGCTACAAAAGATGCTACACCAGATACTACACCAATGCTACACCGATGCTACACCGATGCTACACCAATGCTAAATCAATGCTACACCAATGCTACACCAATGCTACAATTCCAGTGGATTCCGACCTTGAGGAAGATCTTAGTCTTCCCGATTTGCCAGTCTCCGTGTTTGCCAAGTCTGTCCAGGACGATCTGTCTGCAAGTCCCCCACAGATCCTCCTGTAAAGTACAAGTATCACACTAGTACTATTTGTTTGTTTGTGTTTCTGCTGCTGGACGCCTGAGTTTCACCTACAGGGATCAGTAAAGTGTGTATTATCTGTAAAGTGTGTATTACTGCATGTGTGTGGTACCTGTATGTGTGTATTACCTGTATGTGTGTATTACCTGCATGTGTGTATTACCTGTATGTATTTATTACCTGCATGTGTGTATTACCTGTATGTGTGTATTACCTGTATGTGTGTATTACGTGTATGTGTATTACCTGCATGTGTGTGTTACTTGCATGTGTGTATTACCTGTATGTGTATTACCTTTATGTGTGTATTTACTCCATGTGTGTGTGTGTGTTACCTGAATGTGTGTATTAACTGCATGTGTGTGTTACCTGCATGTGTGTGTCTCACTGCATGTGTGTGTTACCTGCATGTGTGTGTGTCACTGCATGTGTGAGGTTTCTGCATGTGTGTGTGTCACTGCATGTGTGTGGTACCTGCATGTGTGTATTACCTGCCTGTGTGTGTTACCTGCATGTGTGTGTGTCACTGCATGTGTGTGGTACCTGCATGTGTGTATTACCTGCATGTGTGTGTTATCTTTATTTGTGTATTACCTGCACGTGTGTGTTACCTGCATGTGTGTGGTACCTGCATGTCTTTATTACCTGCATGTGTGTGTCACTGCATGTGTGTGGTACCTGCATGTGTGTGTTTTCTTTATGTGTGTATTAACTGCATGTGTTGTGTATTACCTGCATGTGTGTGTTACCTTTATGTAACACACCAGGACAGGAGCCGCACCCCGCTCCATCTCTGTGTGGAGTGAGAGACAAATGCCTAAAAATAACAATTGTAAACCGCTTTGTGACTCTGGTCTGTGAAAGGCGGTATATAAATAAACATTACTTACTTACTTACTTACCTGTATGTGTGTGTTACCTGTATGTGTGTATTACATACAGGTAACACACGATTTTAAGGTTCTTTTAATGGTTTTTAAATGTCTTAATGGTCTTGGGCCTTCTTATCTTTCAGATTTGCTTTTATCCTATGAACCTTCCCGGCCCCTGCGCTCCTCCGGCAGCAGACTCCTAACCATCCCCAAAGTCAGGACACACACTCACGGCGAGGCATCTTTCCAGCACTATGGCCCCCGTCTCTGGAACAGTCTGCCGCAGGAGCTCAGGGCCGCAGAGAATCTTCATATTTTTAAGAGTAGGCTCAAGACGCACCTTTTTAGAGTAGCTTTTGATTAGTATTAATTATTTATTATTGCTTTTTAGTACATCTATTTAGATATTTTAGTCTACCCATTTACTATTGTTATTATCAATATTAGGCAGCTGCCATTTTTCTTTTTAGTGTCTCATTTTATTAGTAAGTAAGTAAGTAATGTTTATTTATATACCACCTTTCACATACCAGAGTCACAAAGCGGTTTACAATTGTTGTTTTTGGGCACTTGTCCTCTCACTCCACACAGAGATGGGAGCAGGGTCGCCGAACAGGAGGCGCATGCCAGACCTATTGTACATATTTTTAGAAGTAGGGGAAACTGGAGTACCCGGAGGAAACCTACAGGTTTCCTTATTCCTTATTGTTCTACTTTAAGGATCTGGCTCTTGGATCCGGTGGGGGTCTGGGGCCTCCTCTCTCTTCTGGGTCCTATGGGGTCTGACTCGTGGGCCTGGTGGGGTCTGGGGCCCCTCTCTCCTCTGGGTCCTGTGTCGTTCCCTGTGGCTGCAGCCGGCTCTCTGCTCCTGGTGCAGATGGCTCCTTGGATGGCGCTTCTTCAGCCAGTTACATCTGCTCCCAGCCCCATTTCTTTTTATTGTTTTACCTATTGTACCTGATGTGACTTTATACTTGTGTGTGTGTGTGTGTGTGTGTGTGTGTGTGTGTGTGTGTGTGTGTGTGTGCGTGCGTGTGTGTATACGCATGTGGTTGTATATATAATTATAAATGTGGTTTTGGGGGGGTCTGTGGGGAGGTGGGTTTAGGGCTGGGCATGTTGGATTGTTTTTAACTAAACTGTAAAGCACTTTGTGTTCATTTGGAGGTTGAGGTTGACGTCGGGAAACGACGTCGAGAAACGTCAATCATCAGCACCCCCAGTGACCTAATATTCGACGTTCAAATTACGTTGACTTCAACGTCGGCTTGCTGTAGTGGGCAGTCCATGTGTGAAGCACTGCTTTGAGTCACAAAAAATGAAAGGGGGCCCCTTGTGCTGTTGCTGCTGGAGGAAGCTGTGCAGGAGTGGTTGAGGTTCAGCCCACCCACTAGTCTTTGGGCCAGGAAGTCTGAGGTAAGTAAGTAATCGTTATTTATTGTACCAGTCTTTTCAACTGCAAATCAAGAGTCCTCAAAGGCGGTTTAACAATTGTTATTTGGGGCATTTGCTGCTCGCTCCACACAGAGATGGGGAGCGGGGTCCGCCAGTATAGAGGCGGCAGGTCCATACCTATTGGGTACATAATTTTAGTGGTATGGGAAAACCGGTGTACCTGAGGAAACCTAACGAGACATCACGGGGAGAACATGCAACTCCCATTCAGAAAGGCCCTGGTCCGACCGGATTTCGAACCCAGGACCTTCTTGCCTGAGAAGGCGAGATGGCTATCCACTCCAGCCCACCGTGCCGCCCCAGGACCTTTTGGACAAGTTTCTAAAAGAGCACCTCATTAAACTCAAAGACTGTCAAAACATCCCAGATATTCCACTACTACACTTTGGGATCGGTTTAAAACTAGCTTGCTACCCCACTTTGTCTTGGCGTCTCCTGACCGAAAGAAAGCTGCAATTTGACAAGAAGGCTTATTGTCAACATCGTCTAGCCTGGTGGACTACGGCGCTCGAACGGCGCTACTTCTCTTAACCAATACCAGCTCAGCATTTGTCCACTACATCTCTGTGCCTTATGTTGTATACCAGAAGCTGAGTGGACACCAACTACTCATCACGACACCGACCGTAGGCGGGCGCTCAAGGGGTCTGCTATGTGAATATTCTGAAGCTCTACAGCACACGGAGTGACCAGCAACACCGGCCAGTTCCCTGCGGTGATGAGAAGGCATCTCCTGTTGTTGGCTTACACCAAGGTGAGTTCTGACTGAACCTGAAGAGGCTGAAAAAGTGGGAGTCTCTATGAAATCTTTGTAAAACGAACCCATGATTGCACCCTCTCTAATACTCTAGAGCCACAAGAACAATGATTGTTTCAAATTATCCTGGACGAGCCCCCAAGTTTGTGTATCGACCAAGATAGATGAAACAATAATTGAACTGAGGAGGCAGCTACACAGAGACAATGTGGCAGTAAAAAACTATAGTTTGGATGTCTGTTGCTACTAACCGCTCATATGAAGAAGACTGTGTTCCAGGGAGTGGAAAAACCGTAAGAATTTCAGATCATGCTGCAGAGTGGACAACTCAAGATACGCTGCTCAGCGGGGTTCGTCTTTCACGACCCGCGTGAGGAAAAAGGTGGGAATTTCCTGCCGGAGCTGAACCCCCCACCTCCACCGCAGCTCCCCGCACGTACATTTTGGACATGCACAGTAGCGAAAACAAACAACAAAGGCGCGGGTTACACAAACTAGCTTGTGGGGGCTTTGCGAGCTCGGGAGAGAGTGGATAATTCTACTCCTTTCGTTCATCCAAACGAGACCTCAGCACAAAGTTGTCGCTTCAGTTTCCATTCTTCACAACTGCTTGTTAAAATTACAGAATGATGTTGGTGCGCTTCCGAGGGTCTGGCACAGGAAGTGGGTAATCAACTGCCAGAGGGGGGTTTCTTACCATCTACTGGCCGGGCCGCTAGAACTACATGTTTTTCAACCTTGTAAGAACCTGAGAAAATTTGCATTAGAGCCTGGTCGTTTCTGCTAATAGCCTGGAAATGTTTGCGCAGCGGCTCAGATAAATCTCAGCCGAGTCACTCAGTGGGTATGGCAATTTCCTTTTATAAAAGCTAAACAAAAAAGAATAACAGTGGTGGGAGTTGGCGTCGCCCAGTTGTGCCAAAATAACAAACTCAACAAAACAAGTCCAACAAAAGGAATGAATCAAAAAATGCCTAAGTCGTTTAGACCGTAAATAAGAGTCGGCGTGTAAAACAACAAGGATGGCAACAACTGGCTAACTAATGCATCAAACAAAAACAGCTGAGAGAGAGAGAGGGAGAGAAAATGAGGGCCAATACTATCAGATTCCCATTGGCAAGACCCTCCATCAAAACGTCTATACTGGAGGACCAAAAGTTTGCTCTTGGCCAAAGCTCCGTTTCCACATGTTGTGTCGAAATTCTGAGGGGGGTGAATTTTTTTTTGGTCCACTCTATTTTACTTTGCTGTGAATGTTGAAGCTCCGCGCTAAGGCATGTGTTTTTTTCCATAGACGTAATATATTAACGGTCAGAGTCACGACCCTATCCCGCCGTTCTAAACAAATGGCCATAAAAATGTGCTCTACTGTAACGATCCAAATTGGCCCGCTGAGAGGTCCCCCCACAAGAAAAATGTGGAAATACGCTTCGGGCATGCGCCAGCCGGTCGCAGCCCCATTCATTTGAACGAGAGACTTTCAAACATTCACCACTCAGCAGTAAACTAAGTGACAAAAAAAATTCCCCCCCCCCCTTTCATATGTTTAATATATGTTTACAATGTATTTGAAATATAGGTTAAATAATAGAAACAGTCATTATAAATATAATATTTAAATATATATATATATGCAAACATGTGTATGGCAATTTAACACAGACTAATGGGCATCTATCAAAAAAGCCAACTTTATTTCTTTAAATCAGATACAAAACAAATCCAGAGGAAGTTGAGGTAGAGGGTACATTTTAACATTGCAACATCTAGTGCAAACTTGAAACTCACTTCCTGCAAAAAAAAAAAGGTTGGCAAGTACAAAACTTAAATCAATTACAAACTTTGCGCTTCACCTGGGTCTTAGCTCGCAAATTCCACTATTTATGACTTTCTCACAGCAGCGTCTATGGCCGCAAGGGAAAACTGTTTTACATCAACAGCATCTGTGGAACTGAACACCGATTACCCACCTCAAAGCAGCCTGCTTAAATCATCCCGTCCCCACTTCTTCCTCCTGCCCCATAGCCAGCCCCCCCCGCTCAGCCTACCCTCCTGGGCATATGCCATCAAAACTGGAAAGACAGAACCTACTCTAAGCATAATTTTACCTTGGCAGAGCTTGAATTTTCCTGCGGGTCGGAGAGCCTGCCGATGACGCTCGGCATTAGGAATTCCTATTTTGCTGAACCCCCTCCATTCCAGGTTGGACTTGGAGGAGAACTTTCAACATCAAAGACCCCACAGTACACCCGAGCCATACATTGGCGGTGGTACAAGTTTTTGCCGTCTCCCCCAACAATGTGATGAGATAGTGACATCTTCGTTCCCGATTTTCACCTTTAAAGTATAGAAAATGACACATAAGCAGTGATGAAAAAAGGAAAGTCACTACAAGCATTAGAATGGATACACACACAAGCAATAAGAGGGCTAAAAAGGGCAGTATGTTTTTGTGTTAAAGGGTTTTTACAGGCGCGCGCATACGTCATAATTTCCCATACATTTCCATTTAATGCCAGTTTTGAATCTCTACTTTAATGCAAATGTAAATATTTTAAGGCCTTGATTTTGACAAATTTCACTAAAGAGCTACTAAACACCCCTTCCAGTATCGATACTCCACCCACTCCACTCCCAAAATTAAAAAAAACTCAGAGAAAGAGGCATGGCGAGAGGCTTGTGGGGAGACGCGGGGAGGGGGAGTGGG